TTTAGAGTTTCAGTCTTATTTTTAAGTCTTTTTTTGTATATGGTGTAAGAAGGTGGTTCAGTTTCCTTTATTTTTTTTTTCCGCATATACTATTTTTTCAATACTATTTATTGAAGAGACTGTCTCTACCCCATTGTATGGTCCTGCCTCTTTTGTCATATATTAAATTAGCATATAGGTATGAATTTATTTGGGGAGTCTCTATTCTGTTCCATTGATCAATGTATCTGTTTTTATGTCACTACAGTGCTGTTTTGATTACTGTAGCCTTGAAGTATAGTTTGATATCAGGTAGTATGATATCTCTAACTTTGTTCTTTCTTAAGATTGCCGTGGCTATTCGGGATTTTTTAATGCTCCATACAAATTTTAGGATTGTTTGTTCTAGCTCTCTGAAAAAGGCCATTGGTATTTTGATAGACATTGCACTGGATCTATAGATTGCTTTGGATGGTATGGCCATTTTAACAATGTTGATTCTTCCTATCCATGAACAGGGTATATGCTTCCACTTATTTGTGTCTTCCTCAATTTCTTTTTTCAATGACATATAATTTTCTGAAAGCAGGTCTTCTACCTTCTTAGTTAATTTGCTTCCCAGGTATTTTATAGTTATCGACGCAATTATAAATGGGATTGTTTTCTTAATTTCTCTTTCTGAAAGTTCGTCATTGGTGTATAAAAATGCCACTGACTTCTGAATATTTATTTTGTAACCTGCTACTTTACTGAATTCATTGATCAGTTCTAACAGTTTTTTGGTGGGTTTTTAGGGTTCTCTATATATAGTATCATGTCATCGGCAAATAACGAGTTTTACTTCTTCCTTTCCAATTCGGATGCCTTTTATTTCTCTTTCTTGTCTTATTGCTGAGGCTAAGACTTGCAATACAATGTTGAAGAGGAGTGGTGAAAGTGGGCATCCTTGTCTTGTTCCTGATAGTAAGGAAAATGCTTTTAGCCTTTCCCCATTGAGTATGATGTTAGCTGTCGGTTTGTCATATATGGCCTTTATTATGCTGAGGTATGTTCCCTCTATTCCCACTTTGCTGAGAGTTTTTACCATAAATTGATGATGGATTTTGTCGAATGCTTTTTCTGAATCTATTGATACGATGATATGGTTTTTGCCTTTTGATTTGTTAATGTGGTATATCACATTAATTGATTTGCAGATATTGTACCAACCTTGCATCTCAGGAATAGGCTCCACTATTTTTAATAAGCCCTCCAGGTAATTCTAATGCACATGTCAGCTGGACAATCACTCCATAGAAAATAAGTACAAATAGTAATTAAATAAGGATGGATTGACTGAAAACCATTCGCTTTTCACATTAATCCAAAAAACCTGTGCTGTACATTTCCCAGCTCCACTGAAGAAATATTTTAAATTAAGAATGAGATAAGGAATAAAAAATGAGGCTATGTCTTTGAGAATCTAAGAGAGACCAGCTGGAGAGATGTGGTAAAACTTACCTATATGACAGCAACAGAACAATTTAATGGGCTATGAGACACTGTACTAACAGGAATCATACAGATAAATTGCCTGCCAGGGTTTTAGGATATAGAACATGACCATCCCAGGGGTGAAGAGGTCACCAACATCATACAAATGTAGAGCTATCCCCTTCCCCATTGCTCAAAAATGACCCACAAGGGTCATTTTTTACTTGTCCCGTGCCAGATGCCACATGATGCAGATGGGATTTCTTCCTCATTGGTCATTGGAAGAAATGCAAAACAAGAAATATTCTGCCCAAATCCCATTCCGATAAGGGATACAGGAGTGGGGAGGGGCGGGAGTGGGGAGTGTAAGAACTGTAATTCCAAATACCAAATATCACATGACAGCCCTCTGTGGAGGAAGATGAGGAAAGTGTGGTCTAGAAGATGCCAGCAGGTATGACTCAGAAGAAAAGCAAATCAAATAGAATTTATCATATTTGGAAAAGAAAATGTTCACAAGTTTAAACCATTGAATAGATAAACATTATTGTGTAACCCAATAATTACTTAAATATTAGGTAAACAAAAACAAGGAAATAGTGTTGACAACTCACCCCATCTAGGTGGTATATAAGAGGCCACGGCATGAGGAGACTTCCAAACTCAAGAACTTAAACCTTCTGAAATCCCATCCAGACTCTCCACCCTCTGACACCATGGCCAGCTCCTGTTGTGGTTCAGTCTGCTCTGACCAGGGCTGTGGCCAAGGCTGCTGCCAGGAGACCTGCTGCCGCCCCAGCTGCTGCCAGACCACCTGCTGCAGGACCACCTGCTGCCGCCCTAGTTGCTGTGTGTCCAGCTGCTGCCGCCCCAGTTGCTGTGTGTCCAGCTGCTGCCGCCCCAGCTGCTATGGTTCCAGCTGCTGCCGCCCTAGCTGCTGCATCTCCAGCTGCTGCCGCCCCAGCGTCTGCTGTAGGCCGAGCGGCTGTGTGTCCAGCTGCTGCCGCCCCACTGGCTGTGGTTCCAGCTGCTGCTGTAGGCCCAGCTGCTGCATCTCTAGCTGCTGCCGCCCCAGCTGCTGTGGTTCCAGCTGCTGTGGCTCCAGCTGCTGCCGCCCCTGCTGCTGCCCCTCCTGCTGCCTCCGCCCAGTCTGTGGCCGGGTCTGCTGCCAGAGCACTTGCTATCGCCCCACCTGTGTCATCTCCACCTGCCCCCGCCCCATGTGCTGTGCCATCCCCTGCTGCTGAATCTCTGCCTGTAATCTTTGTCACATTATGGATGTCCTCACAAGTCATATAAAATGTGCTGGAGCCAGGCAGTGACTGGGAAATGAACTCTTCACTGCTAGCTCTGCTGGTTTGACATTCAGAGTTGGTGTTCAGTTTTAGGAAATGACAGATGAAAACACTTCTGTCTAATGATTTTAACCCAGGCCCACATCCACCAGCAATGTCTCATCTAAGTATACACCAAATGTGATGATCTCATTTAATATTATTTCCATATGTTCTTAATAAACAGCCATTTCCCCTGATATTGAAATCTCCTAATTTGTTAATGATTTGGCATGTGTGCACATGTGTGTATGTGTGTCTTAACTATCACCTCGCACCAAGGAATCTTGCTTCAAATGCAGGATGGCAAGTTCAAGAGCAGTTACTTATGCTAGAATCGAGACTTCACTGGGCATTTGTGGTATGACACGGACAAAGTTATTTAACATCTTCAAGCCTCAGGTTTTTTCTGTGAAACTGGGATAATACATTATATTCTTCAAAGGTTCAAAGACATAATCCACGTAATACACTTAGCACAAGGTGGGACACATAATATAAGCTCTCAATAAATATCACTTTTATCATTACTGTTATTGAACCACCACCTGGTCTAGAATACTATCTTAGCCTAGTGTTCTCTTTGACAGAACAGCAAAGAAAGTTTGTATAATTGTTTCACTGTCCTCTCTAACTTTGGTACACGTCTCAAATGTCTCTTAAAAACTCCAGTGTGTTGACCATAAAGTCATTTAAATTTCACTTGACTATATTTCTACTTCCAGTATGTTCCATTATTGGTTGTGTGAATTTTGGGTGTTCTACCCAGCTCCCTCCCTCCCTCCCTCCCTCCCTCCCTCCCTCTTTCCTTTCCTTTCCTTTCCTTTCCTTTCCTTTCCTTTCCTTTCCTTTC